CAAGTGAGCCGCCAATGTGACCATCATTTCCATCCTTCCGTTGCGGGCTTCGCCAGCCCGTTAGCCCAAGACCAAGAAAAAGTAAATCCGTGACATAAAAAGACCGTCTCTGTGCCCCAGCAATAGTCTTCCGGGACACAAATTTGGTAGTTTTGAATGTTGCGTATGCCGCCTTTGGTGATTTGTCGGATGCGTGTGCTACCGTCCAAATCTTCCCAAGAGGCCATCTGCTATTCCATGCTATTCATTGCTGGAATAACGACCACATGGGCAAATTGAAACCCGCCAACCTCGAACACCTTGGAGAAGTTATGGATGCCGTCAAGGGAATAGTGCCTTGCCGATGACTTGAGCAGTCTGTTTCGTGGACGGCATGTGAGGATGAGGAAAAACTGAGGATATATCGTCCTGGAATAAAGGGGAGTCATGCCGTCACCATGAATGGCAAGCACCCAATGCCGGACCTGAATATGCTGCTGAAAGACCAGTGGTATCGAGGGAAACGCCATGCATTTGAAAAAACGCTGTGCTGTGCAATGCTGTGCCACCTGTGGGCGGCAAAGAATCCGTATTATAAACATCGCGCCTCCGAAGGCGCTTTCCGGGGTATAGTCGAACGTTGTGGAGCACTGAGTGGTATGGATCACTGCGTCGCGGCCACGCACCAGTGACGATGGAAAGCCCATGCACTTTTTTGACACTCCTTGCTGCAGTACTTGGTGCGGCGGCAGCGGCGACACTTGGCAAATTGGCGGGTGAATTCCTCCCACTTGCCGCACTGGTAGTATGCACACTGACGGATGCCTCCGCGGGTATCGTCCTTGCGGCACAGATTTCTCATGACAACGCCAGCCCAGTATTGCATATCTGTGCTGTGGTGTCGAACTGTGAACTTCTCGACCAGGGGGAAAATATTGAAGTCGTTGGGCAACAAGAACTCCTCCTCGAGCTCTTCCTCTTCAACCTGCTCCTTGGGAGCGTCCTCGCCGTCCAAGTAGCGGAGTTCCTTTCCAATCTTGAGCCTTGGGACCAAGTGGCTCTTTTGGAAATACGACCGCAGGCCACAGTACTTGGAGACATATGCAAGCAATTGAAGGGACATCAAGACGTCTTCTTCACGCGGCATGGCGGCAAGCATCTGGGCGTTGGGTACAAATTGTCGGTCAAGGAGGTACCGGGGAACGCTGGCGTTGGGAATGGCTGGCTGAGGAGGTGTGACCATTGTGGGGCGGTTAGGTGACAAACCGATGGCAGGCACAGGGGCTGGCGTCGTAGCAGCGGTGTTGCTAGTTTCCACAGGACCGCGGTGTGTGATGTTAAAGGCTCCAGTATCCTGAGTTTCTGACACAGTTGGGGTGTTCAGGTCCATTGTGGTAGAGCCAGCCAGGATGCTGTCTCCCTCTTCCATAGTGATATCTTGGATGTTTACGGCAGTCTGAATCTCAGTGCCAGTGCCCGACATTTCAGCATCCGGGGACTCGTCGGATGGCGCGTCATCTCCGACCAAGTCATCCGAGTCGACGGTGGAGTTTTGGTGACGAATGGAAGGACGGCGACGGGAGCGATTTGTTGGTGCAAGTCCCGAAGTAGGCCGGACGGTAGGAGAGCGCATCTGCGGAGGCGGCAGGGGAGTTGTTGGGGAAGACGGTTGCGAAACCAAGTTTGCGTTGCCAAAAGTCATCATCGACGCAAGACGGTCAGCATCGCGTACAGGTCTGACAAAGCCCTCCATAGTTTCAGTGGCAGGTACGGCGGGTGCCAACGGCTGAACGACCTGACGAGAAGGAGATGCAACGGCATGGCGAGCCTCGGCGGCACGGTAATGGTGGTGATGGTGATGATGATGGTGACGGTGGGCAGGGAACGCAGGTCGCTCGGCGGAGGACGCCAGCGGATACTGGGGTGGAGTGGGTGTGGATTCGGTGTTTTGTTGATCGACTGCGGAGCTCGAGGACGAGGATCCCGCGTAGGTAGCAGATACGTCGATGGAGGGAGGAGGGGCCTGGCGTCTGGAGGCCCTCTGCTCAACTTCTGTTCGGGTGGATCTGTTGGTGAAGGACGGAGCCTTGTGTACACTGCGGTGTTCGTGGCTCCTGTGACGGTGGTGATGGTCCTTGCTCTTGTCGTCCGACTTGTCTCTGCACTTCTCAGTGACTTTGATGTAGTTGTCGAGAATGGTAGCAATGACGGGGACCATGTCGGCCTCGACAACCCTGGTGCGGACGTTTTCAGTGCCCCTGACACCAATGTTGACGACGCACTGGAAGGCCAAGTTCCACTTCCACATATCCATCATGTCCTTGCTCCGACCGCGTTTTAGAATGCATACCAAGCGCTCGATGCCGCCGTCGACGGTGAGAATATCACGGATGCGAGCCGAGGATGTGGTGAGGTAGGCGAGATGGTTGAGAGAGTTGATGAGAGGAAGGGTAGAGGTGCAGTCGAGAGCTCGTCTGTCGTAGAGGGCGGTCGTGATGCCGACCGACGCCTTGTTGACGTTTGGGATACTGAAATTGACTTCTCTCATCTTGAAAGTGGGTAAGACGACGAGATGGATTCAAGGGTTATTCAAGTCGAATGGGGCCAGGCAGTGCAGCCGTGGAAAGGTGCGAGTGTGACAAATCCCTTCCAGGTTGGGCGGCCCCTTTGACAGGTTTGAAAGAAGGAGTGTGTTGATTCGTGCTCGCTCAACAGGTCGATGGGCCGATGATGAATCTCGAGGTGTGCCGATTGAAGAGCAAAATGAGGAGAAAGGAATCGAGGTTTGGGGTTGGGGTCGCTCGAGGGTGGCGATATTGTTGTGTGTGTGTATGAGAATTTGGTTGGATTGGACCGGATCGTGCGTGAGCGGACTCGTCTCGATTCGATGGTATTGGTAGTAGTCTCGTGCGGTGCGAGGGTCGGAGATACGATGGGAAGCGTTGCAAGACTTGTTGTCTTTTTCTTGGTCGCGATCGTTTCCGAAGACAATCGTTTGGTTGAATGGAACCAAAGGAGGCAGGATGGGATAGTAGTAGTTTGTTGTAGGAAGAAGAGTCGCAGGAGTAAGGAAGAGGGTGCAAAGTAGCGGCGAAAAGACGGTGGAGGGTAAAGGGTGATGGATTGGTTTGGTTGTGTTTCAGGACCGACACCCGGAAGCGTGACTCGGATGTGCTGTGAAATGGCAGTGGCAGCGTCAGCCAAAGCCAAAAGGAGCAGGAACTAAAAGCCTGGGCCAAGAGACAAGACGGATGCACGCAAAGTGGAAGCGATGTCTGGCATGCAGCGATAGCAGCGAGACAATGCGTGCGATGACGCTCGACGCTCGACGCGAGAAGGTGAGGATGAAGAGCGGGACAAGCGACGGCGAAGGGAGGTTGGGAAGAACAAGAGTAGGAGTAGGAAAAAAAGAGGAGGAGAGGAAGAAGGAGCAGAGGGAAGAGGAGAAGCAGACGATGAGGATGGATGCATCAGGTCCGCACGTACGCGAGATTTGTGCAGTGTTGGCCCAGTCCAGCCCGGTCAGGCAGCCCAGCCCAGCACCAGCCAGCAGGGCCCAACAGGACTGGGACGCACCTCATCACACAACTGGGTACCTAACAACAGCACCTCAGCAATAAAGTAGGTAGGTAGCGGCCAGCGACGCCCTTGGCCCTTGGATGAGGAAGCTACACAGGGCACTTGCCCGTCTCACACATGGATAATAAGCACAGTCCCTGGAACAGCGGAGCACACAGCAACATAATACCTAGGGTTCTTAGGTGTATTCAGGAGGCAGGCAGATGGCAGGGCCTCCTACTACGTATGGATTGATTTGGTAAAACAAATTAGTTGGTAGCTTGGAACACTTACCTACTCACGCACCATATATTTTACCTTACCTGCCGCTATGCAACTCCTCGCTTAATCGTTGAATGTACAGCGAAGCTGGGAGCGACCTGAGCCTCGGGTGCGTCCTGGGCTGGCAGACGGGGCTGGGCAAAGACCTGACGCAACAGCACTACCTGGGTTGATTGGCGGTAAAATGGGCAGCAACTGTGGTGATGGAGCCCACGGACAAGAAGGGGGCAGGCAAAGGGCAGGGAATCATCATAAGGGACCGCTGAAGTACGCCCGGCACTGAGCTAAGGGAAGGTACCTAGGTAAGTAAGGTAGGTAAGGTAAATAAATAGGTGCGGTGCCCGCGGTAAAGAACCTCAGCCATCAATGCCCGTACAAGTTACGAATGTCCGATTTTTTGAGGGCAAACGCGGCGAGGTTTTAACAGCAACCTACCATAACTTCGGTACGTGTGGACTAGGACAGCAGTAAGCCGACCATGTCCTTTAATTCCCCGACGCCCTTCTACTTTGTTCCTCTGAACTGTACAAATACTCCTCGACGCGGCATGGTACCATGCAGCTTATATAAGCGTAGCTCACGGTGTGATGCTCCGTCGGCCGGACAGAGTCCGACCGGGTCAATAGGTATTCTGACGCGACTGCCAGTTCTCCGAGTTCCCATCCAGCGGACGGATTGTTTGGAACATCGTGAGGCAAAATCACCATATGCCGTTGGTAGGAGAGCGACACCGGACAGTCAAATTCCATCTTGCTGCATGCAAATCCACAACCATCCAGCCAAACCCTTACCTGAGTTCGAATCCAATACCGCAGGAATACAATTTCAACTTGACTTTACCTAAGGCAGCCGCGCTTTCTCGAACTGCATCATCTCTCGCAACGAACCGAGTCCGTCGAGTCTCTTCAGCCTCGAAGTACCTACGTACAGCCCGTAAGCCCCCAAGCCCAAGGTTCGTTCCGCATCGGGCAGGCAAAGGCAAAGACACCACGTCAGGTACCGGTCACGCCGCGCCGCTGGACCTGCCATCTAACACCCGCCACTCGGCCGCATTCGGCCTTGCTTCCTGGACTCGGGGGAAGATAGACCCCTGACAAATCGCACGTCTATCTCCTGAGGGTCGAAGATCATGGTCCTCCGTAGTTCCGTACCTTTGCTCTGCCAGGCAAGCCGCCCACAACGTAGGTATCCAAGGTACCTCCAGGTGCGGCTAGCTCCCGCTCACCCCAACACCACCACTGATCCCTTCACCGTCTTTTGACACTCTCTTTTCCATGAGCCCGGAACACGCCTCCTCTTTCAGCCTCCAGGAACCTCAGCATTCTCTTTGTTCCTCGAAACGACTCTAACGTTCCCCTGCCCATTCTTTTGTCCCTCGCAAGGTATGGAGCACTCTGCATTTACTACTGTACATAGTCGTACAGTAGACAGTAGCAGTGACCGTTTCTAGCGCTGTTCCCTGCCGCCTCCCGGTTCTCGAGCCGCCGGCTCGGGTCAATACCGCCGGGACGAGTGACCTGAGTGCTCACGGTCACGGTCAAGGTCACGGTCTTGTTAGGTACTGATTCGGACATTTCGTGGGGCCCTGCTATTTTCCAGGCGGCAGGCATCAACCTGCACGTCAGTCTTTCTCCACCAAAGGTGGTTGGTTATTGAAAGTTGATAGCGACACATTTCTGCCACATTGCGTAGCTTTCCAAGCAGTCTGTGCCGGCTGCGATTGCATTGTACGCACATTATCTGCATTGAGAGGGTTGACAGAGGAAAGATCAAGACATGAACACGCCAACGCAATCCCAAACGCCATTGTAGTGTGGAACGTGGACCGTGGAACATTAATGGAAGGAAAGGAAAGAAAAGAAAAGAAAAGAAGAAAAAGCAAAGGCAGCCAAGTGGTCTACCCGTTGGCGATGCGAGATTGGGAGCTGAGAAAGCTGCCGTCTACGGACCTAGTGCATGAACGACCGTGTATTGCATGTGTCGTGAGCTCTCGGCTGCTGCTAGATAGGATACCCTGACAAGTCTGAGCAAGACAAAGAGCTGGGGAGAGTTTATCGAGTCTGTGTGACAACGAGAGAGTAGGAGAGGTGGCAGATGCACGACCGTTCGCACTACTTGTTGCTGGTCCGGTTTGATGTTGGCAGCTTACACCATCCTTATCTCTGATTGCTTGGACTGATCGAGCACCGAGTAGTCAGTAATTACTGCTGATTCTCCATGATGCCTCCCTCACCTTGGGATTGGGTTGTATCTCGGGATGTTCGTTTCAGGGACAGCAGAGAGTCATCATTTACATTCCTGCGCCCTTTGCCTCGGTACTTTTCCAAATGTCACTGGTGTTGCTACGGCATTGGCAGCGTGAGTCTCACATCAGGTCCGCAGGGAAACTTCAAAGGCACGTAATCCGTACCTATGGTGACAGATAGGTACAACCTGCCACTGGTGAACTGGGAGGGAATGTGCCCCACCGCTGTCTGCAGCAATCGTCAGCGAACGGCACTTGTCCCAGATCCAACACACAAATTGGTGCGAGATCGCATTCCTCGGAGCGTCGTTTTCGTGAAGGCTGAAGCCCGAGTGTGCCCTGGGTTCGGAAGCGGTGAGGTCATGGTCTGTTAGAGAAGAGATCGCACCGCCAGGGCACAGATGCAGCCACGAGGTGACTGCCATGTGTCAATTTCAATAGTAACATTAAATTTTAGTTTTGCAGGCACGGGGCAGGCGTGGCAGGGCAGGCACCAAAGAGGAGGGAACGCCTTCCCGTTTACCTCCCGCCCGACAAGAACAGAGGGACGGACGGCAGGGAGGGCGGGGTCTTCACCTCCTCCCATGTATTCATTCGTACAGGGAAGCCTCCAGGAAAGAGCCCGCCGCTCGCTGGACCTGTTCTCCGCCCTTCTCCAAATGAATTCGAACCTGGTAGGTACAATGCAGCAGGTACCTATTCTCAGGGACCACACATGGAGGGCAGCCGCTGATGTCTTCTCCGTCCTGCATCGACCGGAAAATTTCTGCCAAATACTGAATCAGATTGTCTTGGATAACATCGGAAATACCTTGGACAAAGAATCATCATCTACGGATACTCCGTACCTACGGATACCACCTGATTGCTTACCTTACCTTACCTTGCATCTCAACTTCTCAAGGTAGTACCTACCTTAGGTACAAGGCCCCCAACATCGAGTTTTATGCTCCTGATCCTTCCGACCCGTTGGGACCCTCAATGGTTTTCTCCACCTCAGCCGTCTTGGACGCTTGGTCACAGCATAGCACACCACGTCCGCCGCCCTCCCTCCTTTCCGTCCCCTTGGCGGAACATGTCCGGAGAACCATCCGTACGAGCTGGACCGCGCCGGGGACAGCGACTTGCAAAATCCATTGTCCAATGCCATCGCAATCCAACCGACCGGGCACATACAAGTAATAACAATTCCATCCATCGGCACGAAGCACTGGTATGGGCAATGGCATTAGTATCACCACAAACCCCACTCACAAACATCAACCTCCCGAACTGTCTTCTCCTCTGTGCGGCAACTATCACTTATCCCTCTGTAGACAACCTCTGCAGAGACTCATAGCGCGCCTTGCCAACTAACCGATAGACATCCCGATGGAGTACGAAGTACATGCCTGACCGCACACGGCAGACTCAGAGACGCATACCGATGGCGAGCCGTTAGACGCCTTGCTGCCGACTTTGGCGTGGCCTACTGCATGCAGGATCCTTCTTTTTTATCCTTCCGCCTCTGTCCGCCCGCTTGCCCGTTTGCCACGAGCTTCGGTACGGCGTCGGCGGCTGACCAGTCCACTGGGAAGCAGAAACACCAAATTTATGGCTGACCAGAACTTGCGCTCAACAAAGGCACTGTTCTGGTCGATTGGCCGAGATATGCGCCAGCCACTCGGAGATGCAACGCGATGCCATGCGAATGGCGCACAAGCTTCTTTTCCAACATGGAGTTGCAATGGCATTGTGGGACACAATAAGGTAGCCCTGGCCATGAATCGGGGGCTGGGACTCTGGTGATTGGCCGTGCGCGCGCCATTTCCCTTGCCGCCTCTGCCATCTCAATTCACCGCAGCGCTTAATTATTTTCAACACGAGATGCAAGCCCGTTCCCTTCTTGCCTTCCCACTTGTCGGCCCTCCACCTTGGCAGTGGGCCTAGATCGGGTCTCGGTGCCACCACCACTGCCAAGACTCCATTTACACTTCTCCAAATCTCTCAAGCGTCAGAATCCCCACTTCCTTAACGACACATGCTGCTCTTTTCCCTTGCTCTTCCCTTTTCTCAGCTGAGAATCTTCTGGGTCCTCATCCAAGGAACGGAGGGGGCCCGGTGGGAAAACAAAGGGAGGCAAGAAGGGTTGCCGTGACCGCGGATGCTGACGGCTCACGGACTCCTCAAGGTTCACCATCCAGGTGCTTCGTGATGCGTCTGACGCTCGGCTTACTCGATGGAAACACCTTTTGGGTTAGCCAGCGGGCACTTGGAAGACCTCGATCTTCTTCTCTACGACTTACCGGTGCCAGGGCCAGAGCCAGCGCATCACATCGCTACAACGAGTGGTCGGTTGGTCGGTCGGTTGGTCCACACCAAGCGCAGCAAAGCACCAGGACCATCCAGCTCCAGTCGAAAATGTCTCGCCTTCTGCAGATCCAGCTTGGCCCCCGAGCGGTCGCGGCGGGCAAAGGGGACTCGCAGCTCGCGGGCTTCCATCCATGGGGCTTTGCTTCTGTGTCGCCAACGTCGTTGTGTTTCAGATGACATGTCTCAAGGTGGACTCACTACCGCTGCCGTTGGCTCTTCCCTTGGCCAGTGAGGCATCTGTTCACTCGAGTTGAAGGGACTCAGGGAGGTCTCGTGAGCTGAGCGAAATACGACCTTGGCAACTCGGCCGACTCTGTCAGACTTTCCACACGTGAGCTGCCAACCGGAACCGACCTATTAGAAAGAAGGTCAAGAGACTTGAGGACTGTGCGCTGTGTAGCGTACCAAAGTCTGCATGCTTACCTACTGTCCCGAAAGCCAACCATACAAACCCCCACCACCGAGATCGTGCAAGATGTGGTCGTTGGGACCCTTGTTCTCTGCCTGGGAGGCTGGCAAGATGGGCCGCTGCCCGCTGGCAAGCCGCATGCCATTCTCGGTTCGTGATTACGCGCAGACAGTGGATCCCCGCCCTCCATCCACTCGCCTCGATCTCGCTTCTAGAATAGCCTGTCCACACGTGTTGGCGATGTAGTATCAACGTACCCACTCGTCTGACCGTACACTATCAACATACGCGCACGTTATCCGTATATCTTACCAACAGTGACTCGTAGATAGCGTGTGATCGTGACAAGTATTAAATGGCTTAATGACAGGCTGTAAGTTCCGGTCCAGTTACCCCTATACTCGAAGAAGGCCAAGAAAATGACGGGGTTGATACGAAGTTGTCACTGTGGTATTCGAAGCTCAAGATGAGTTAACTTGTGCGTTTCTTGACTTTAGTTACCTATGGTTCCAAAAGCTATAGTAAACGTACACCTTGACTGTAAGCACTGTTTTTGGCCCTTATTTTGGCCGTATAGGCATGAGACTGGCTGAAGACCAAATCTGATATATAAAAAAAAAACAGGATTCCTAATCCTGAGAACCCAGCAAGACTCTTCCTGCTTGCTAACTCGCTTTTAACTTTTTGAGTTCCTGCTGCCTGTATCATAAGTGAAAAAACGCCTTGCCGCAAATTTCAACCCAACGCCATTCGTCTGACTTTGTCGACCTGTGTAGCAAACCACAAGTGTCGATGGCGAAAACCCTTCTAGTACAGGATGGGCCATAATTCAAGACCAATCCAGCCTCTACTCCCCGCTGATCTTAGCATGGCGAAAGTACTTCATCCCCATCCAGGCCACGGAGACCCATACCCAAGCCATGATACTGGTCAAGATAATGAGGGCCGGATAGTAGCCCGTAATGGGCAACGTCGGATCGTCCTCGAGCTCCGGGGGCGCGTACGGGGTCGTACCGACATCCCACGCCCAACTCCATACTCCAAAGACTGAGCCCATGCCCATGACAAATACCAGCCCCGTCACGATCAAGACGACCCAGCCCCACCATTCTGTATCCGAGTAGTCGATTTCGGTGTCGTTGGGAGGTAACGGGGTGGTCGACAAGCCGCTGTACGAGAGCGGCGACTTGGCCTGCAGTATGGACTGCTGCCTAGGCCGGGTTCCAAAGTATGATTCGGAGCCCGACGAGAGCGACGAGTCGGGCTGCAGGTGCGACGGCGTGTGGTTCGGTATGTGTAAAACGTCGTCTTCGTCCGTTGTAGATGTGTACGATATCGTGGGGCTGGTGATGGTGGACTCGGCCTCGTTTGTTTGTCGAGCATTCGACAGGGAAGGTACTGGAGATTCTACCAGACTCGACCTGCTCGCATAACCTTCCATAGACGGCCGCGGCGTCAGGTCCGCGATATTTAGTCCGAGAGGGTCGTGTTCGATAGCTGTCGCGTGCGATCGAGACGCAGCGCCCTCCATGTCGCGGGAGACAGTGTGTGACGTGTCAATGGTGAGCTGCTTGGCCTCTTTACGCTCCCGTTGCGCGCCTCTTCCCAAGAGAGCCACCTTCCTAAGGGAACCCTTCCTTCGTCGAGACTTTTGCTGCTGCTGTTGTTGCTGGATGACGGTTGACATGGATGTCGGCGGGGAGCGCGGAGTGTCGTCCTCGGCTTCTTGGTGACGCTGCTGCTGCTTCCCATCGGAATGGGAGCGCATGAAAGGGAGTTTGGAGAAGAAGTTTGCGCCGGAGGAGGTGCGTCGGTGGGGGACCGTCGACGGCGGATGTTGCTGTTGGTATTGATGCTCCGAGAGTGAGACCGACTTTGGTGATACAGCTTCTACTGTCGATGGGTCGTTGAGCGCAAACGTGCGACTCTCGGCGCCATTGTCGCCGTCAGCCGCAGTATGGTCCATTGCGTTTTGGTAAGGTATTTCGAACTGCGATAATCCCTTATCGTTCCGTCGGAAGAGTGGACCAAAACCGATAGGGATGGGGTGGGGGAGAGTCTCACGTCAAAGCTTGGGGACTGTGTACGACTCGGAGCCGCGACATTGACGCCCACTCTGCCGACAATTTGAAGCAGGGGGGTGGAAGAAAAGGGGGGAAGTTCAGCTAAGGGAAGCTGATGGTAGTTCTGGATCTGATTG